ATGTTTTTTTTTGGTGTGAAATCCTATTATTTTGTGTGGTCGTTCACATTTCCAAATATATGTTTTCCAAAAAAGTTAAAAAACAATCCACTGGAGTTGTACGTACACTATAGTTTTGAAATCGTGCCAAGATTGGTCTGAGCACAGTAACTGAGATATCTGTTGAGTGTAAATGGCAGGCACAACCGAACTGGACCGCGCCAGACACAACCGAACCGCACTAACATGGTACTAGTTCATCAGTAGAGCTTGGCGTGGTTATGTTCTGGCTGAGGAGACCGCATCATCTTCTTACAGTCAGCCTCAGTAATGAGGAAATTTCAGACATTCATAAAAATCCCAGCTTCCCTACAATTCTACACGATTCCGATTAATGATTCTGCTTAGCAGTGTGATCTTACTTAAATGTCTGTCGTTATTTCCTGCATCCCTGATGAGATTGTTTGTCGTATTCACTTCCCAAAAGCTGACTCTGTCAAATAATTTCACCAAAGGCTGCCTTCTTCCCAAAAACAACGAAATATCACAACTATAACAAAATATAACCTCCTGAATGTTATGGGCGCTGCCATGTTAGTTTGTGTGTTTACATCTAGAGCGGAGGTTTTCAACAGGGGGTCTGCGACCCCTAGGGAGGTACTAGATTGGATCCATGGAGGTACTAGTTTGGGGTTACGAAAGTTTTGGTTGATTATACTTATTTTTATATTCCCCAACTGCATTTTTATATTCCACTAATTGAAATGTCTTTAAATCCACATTAACATGTCATGAGACGAGGACAGATGGACCCAGTGTTCAAGGAGAGACAGTCTGTAACAGACAGAAACAGGCAGGATCCAGATCAGGCAGGAACAGGAACAGGTGGCAGGATCCAGACTTCCAGGCATCCACAGGCTCCCAGGAGGGTTCAGAGTCTTACTGGGACCAGAAGCATGACCAGGTGGTCACGCACAGGAGCAGAAAGGATCAGGTGCAGACAGGCAGGCACAGTGGAAGAGGGTAGCCGAGACAGGACATAGGAACCGGAACTTGAAGCAGGACTTTAAACTGGTCTCCTCCCTGGAGCCAGGCATATCTTGATAAAAACTGAACCTCCCCCCATAATGAGCCAAAAACCCAGAGGACTCCGCGGGGGAGGAACAGTGGACGATCAGGAGATGAGACAAACACAAAACCCTCTATCCACTGGCAGCTAGGATCCAGGACATGAACCAAAAAAAAACTGAACAGACAGACTAACAAAAAGACAAGCAATGATCTGGCACTGAATTCTCAGGTTGAACTGAATATAACCTAGAGGAAACAGGTGAGAGGAATAAATTATAATGAGGCAGGGAGGGAAAAATGACAGGTTAAAGGAATGACTAATTAAGGGAGAGCAAACAGGCCAGATCATGACATAACATGAATTCAAAACACTGTAGTAAACAGATAAATGGAGGCAGAAGATGTCTTTCAGTCATCAATGCACACATTCAGCGACACACAGGAGCTCTTTCAAGCTGGGCACCGTTTCATTCACAACACCTGTCCCATCAACCAGGAATCAGAAATACTTTGAGTAATGTAACTAAAGTAATTTCTCCCTGGGATTATTAATCTGTAATAGAGTGACTATAGGACCGCTTAATTTCATACAATATATATAATTAGGGGGTCCCCACTTCATTTCGCCATCATTTTCCCGGTCCTTGGCCTGGAAGACGTCGAAGACCCCTGCTCTAGAGAACTGCAGTACATTAGATCATCACTAGGAGGCGAGGAAACCGCACTAGTGTGGGGTGTAAATATTCGTAAGGAACAGAGCTCAGCATGGATCGGTTTCAGAGGGTAGTGTAAATGAGGCTATTGTCGGCGTTTAGTTGCAAATGCAAATCACTTTGTAACTTCTTTGAAGATCTACTCTGTGCTTAAAAACATGTTTGCAGGTCAGATTTCCATTTTATCACTAATCCATCCGATTTTGTTTCCTTTTTGTAGATGAAGTGAAACCGTTGCTGTTTTTCTGTTGCATCATGTGAACGGTTGACCAGGTCAGCCTTCTGGTGCCTTAAAAAAAAAAAACATGTGACCGAATATGTTTCCAGGAGGATCCAGGACAGCTGCCACTCATCCAGAGAGCTGCTTCCTGAGCTCTGCTTAAGAAAATGATCCTTTTATCACAAGTTAAAACAGAGATAGTTTCAGTTCTTATCTGCTTCAACAGACCTTCACAGGTTTCCTTCGACTTTCTGAAGCATCCCCTGGTTCTGTTCTGGGCAGACTAAGTCAGTGATCAAAACCTAAAAAGTGTTATTTATCACAATTCTCACACATTCTGAAAACCTGATGTTAAAAAACTCTGAGCTTGGATATAGATATATATATTTTTTATCTTTAAACAAATAAAAAAAAAAACTTAAGTGTACCTTTACCATGTGTCAGAGTGATCTTGCTTATTTAGTCTCTTTTCAGAATATAGATACATTATATCGGTTTTCCAGGTCTCCATCTCTTAACTGGGCCTAATTGATGCCATGTTTATAAGAGAAGTTTTTGTAGTAAAAAAGAAAACGGATGAGTGTGCAACACCTCGCTGTGTGTGAAAAGCTTCTTGCAGCTCCAGGGAGGAGTGTGTGAAAAGCGATGTGGCTTGAAGGCCGCTGGGGTGGAAAAAAGAACGAGGAGTGCTAAAGAAAAGGAAGGGTGTTAAACCAAGAGAATAAAACAAGAAACAACAGAAGTAGTGAACTTAAACCTGAAGAACAGTTAGTTTTAAAAGAAGCAGCGTGTTTCTAGGCCTTTCTGAGGACGGCTGCACACATTCCTGCTGATTTTACCACCTTCAGAAGAAATCAGATCATATAGGGGCTTTATTGGGTTTCATTATTATTGCAGCAAAGTTTTGTGTTTGGGTGATTTAAGAAACACCACCCAGAAATTCAACTTTAAAATACTAATTAGTTAAAGCCTATTTATTGAAAAATCCCTGTTTTTTAATTTTTATTTTTCCAAATATTTTTTTTTCAGACCTTTAACCAGATAATGCTGTATATGTGGTCTTGATGCACACATTGACAATGAAAATGATGTTGTTGACCAATCTTATTGTTGTCAACGCTGAGGAAAACATTCTGTAAATAAATGTATTTTTTTCATAATAACTAAAACAAACCACATTCTTAAGGGTTGGACCCATTTGTTCATTTCAATTTGCATGTTTTATAAT